CAACCAGGAGGGACATGGGTCCAATAAACATGTGGTAGCATTGAGTCTCCCCAAAATCCTGTCCATGTCCTCAGGAGCCACAGGGTCAAACTCCTCCCAGATAACACTCTCAAGATCTCCCCCTATCATCCCATCCGAGGCTACCCAATCGGAGTCCAGGCCGTCCCGAATCTGAGCGATTTTATCATGCAGATATTGCACAAAATCCTCAGCTCTACCCTGCAAGGAATCATCCCGCGCTCCCATCTGAAGTAGGGAGCGGGTCACCCTAAACAGGGCGGCTGGGCAGTTCTCTGCAGATGCAATAAGAGTGGAAAAATAATTAGATTTCACCACTCTTATTGCCACTAGGTAGGACTTGATGTAAGCCCTCACCAGTGTCCGGTCGGATTCGGTGCGGCTGGCCCTCCAATCACTCTCTAGGCGTCTTTTCCAGCACTTCATCTCTCTCAGCTCTTCGGAAAAGGAGCTGATTGAGATCTGCACCGGATCAGAGGCCACAAAGGCACAACGCGTCCAAAGCTCCAGCAGCCGCCCTATCCCAGGCGACTACCAATTCTTCAGCCGAGTCATGAATCAGAGCCTCTGGGAATGGCCCAAGCTCCATCAGGAACCTGTCCGGGTCCATCAGGCGCCTGGGACGGAACCACCTGGTCAGTTCCGTCTCCCTGCGATGAAGGGGGGTGGCCTGAAAGTCTAACCAAAGGAGCAAATGATCTGTCCATGACAAGGGCTTGATGACTAGCTCCCCTAATTCGAGATCATTCATCCACTGACCAGAGGCAAAAATCAAGTCCAGTGTGTGTCCCCCGATGTGGGTGGGGTCATGAACTAACTGGGTCAGGTCCATGGCCGTCATGGAAGCCACGAACTCCTGAGCTGCTTCTGACATTTCACCGATGGATGGCAGGTTGAAATGCCCCATGACCATAAGTTTGGGGGTATCCACCGCCATCCCGGCTATTATGTCAAGCAGCTCAGGCAGGGCTGCTGCCACGTGGCAGGGAGCCAGGTACATGATCAGCAAGCCTACCTGCACCCCATGACCCCACTTCACAAGGAGGAACTCACAACCGGCTACCTGAGGAACAGTGGCCTCCCTCGGTTCCAGACTTTCCTTAATAATCACCGCTACCCCCCGCTCCTTCCCTGAGCCCTCGGCTGATGAAATGTGTGGAAACCTGGTGGGCACATCTCCACGAGGGGAAACCCCCCCTCCTGGCCCAACCAGGTTTCCGTAATCCCTGCCAGGTCCGCACCCCCCTCCTGAATTTGATCGTAAATGAGGGGGGCTTTATTTACTGCAGACCTGACATTGCACAGCACCAGCCGGAGACTCAGGCCCTGAGGCTCTGCACAACCAGGGTTATATGAAGCGCCTTGGGGGCCGGAGCATGCCACCGCTCGCAAATAGCGGGTGCGTACTCCCCGAACATGATATGGCCCCCTGCACCCACCATATCTGCCCCTCCCACCCACTGTAGTGATGGAATGGCCCTTCGCCTCCTCCCCCGGCACCCCCAGTGGAAGGTGGGAAGGTGGGAATCCCACCACTGGAAGAAAATAATATCAGTTGATGGTGATCAAGTGAAAAACTGTTAAATTCACATACTTAAAAGGTTTCAAACTACCTCTGCAGGTATTAAAAACACAATGGACCTTTGACACATTATAACTGTTAATTGACAAAATATTTGTATTCTGTTTTACATATAACCTACATCTGTGTAACCAATTGGTTCCTCTTCTTCCTCACCTCATCTCAATTTAAATTTTATATCCATCTAATCATTCCACTGAATTTGATGAAATGAGCTGAAACTCACAAAAGTTATGCTGTTTAATAAAGTTTGTTAGAGTTTGTTAGAGTGAAAAAAAATTGCTACCAAACTGCTTATGTATCTGAAGCATGCTTCCTGTGAACAACCTTCAGGTAGTACAAGTTGAGCTGCTGATTACTGCCTGTGTTACAGCCTGTTAAATTGCACAGAACCAGAGGAACAGGACTGGGACCTGTGGTCCAGGAGTTGCCCACATCCAGGGCAAGATATCCTTTCACAGAAGTAGCAGTAGCTGATATTTTCAACTATTTTGTTCCAAATAATATTGTGTTAAATTGAATTTGTAGTGCTTGTAGTATGTGTTGATGATTATTTGTATCAGCGATGTTAGTCACAGGCACTTGAGGGATGCAAGAGTTGGGAGTGATAAAGGAATCCTAAATACAAATAGGCATAATAAAGCTATTAAAATGCTGAGAAGCTACTGATCCTTGGCTGCAGTCTTTTCAAGTAATTTGGTACATCATGGATTTGGAACTTAAACCTTGTGTGGCTAACTTCCCTACTGCTGACAATTCCATATTCTATTTCTCCTATTAAAGTAGGACGTAAAATGAAATTTGGATATAAGAGTGAAATGATACAGGGTTGGCCTGGATGATCTCTGAAGGGTCTCTTGACTTGTTATTGTAAGAGGCAATTGCTGGGTTCAAAAAGTCATATCACAAAGTTAGCTAAATTCTCTTGCAGAACTAAACCATATGGATCAGCATGAATCAGCTTTCCTGCCTAAGCAATAAGGGGAGGGGGCCTAGTTAAAGAGACAGATTTCACATACTTTCTAAAGTAACATACTTTGTTACTTTAGAAAACTATAAGAATGCATGTCTTAAAAAAAGTCTTTGTTCAGACCCTAACAGATTAATTAATCTGTCTGAACTTTTTTGGCCAAAAATAAAGTTTCTCTTGATTTCGAAATTCATCTCTTTTATTTTTCTGCAACACTATGATCATCAAGTTCTCAATGTCTTAGCCCTGTTGGAAATGAATTTCAGCCAACAAACACTTGGATCGATGAAAACAGATTTTATTAAAAGAAAATAATAAAAGCAATTTTGCAAAATAGGGTGGGTATCCCAGCAGACCTCAACAAAGGAGTTTGAGCCAGGAAGCCACACCTAAAGTTTCAAAAGCATTACATTTTATAGTTCCCTATCCCAATGCCCCCCCATGCTCCTCCTACATCGCATCCAGTGACCAATCACTGCTAATCCGAAGTGGCTTTTAGAGAGAACATCATCTCTTTCTCTAATTATATGTTCATCAATACCTTGCTATAACTACCCATAAAATATTTTGCAAGCATGGCTCTTCCTTATCTCTATTGCCTTGACCCCCTTAACTGGGCCTCTTTCTAAGGGGCGTTAAACAAAAGAAGATCTATTCTAACATAACATTGTTACATATTGTATGCTTTCAGCATGTCTTCTCTCCAACAATCTTAAAGCAGAATAATGTTTAACAAATTTAACAGAGTAACAGAGCTGGAAGGGACCCTGCAGGTCATCCAATCCAACCCCATGCCTAATCAAAATTGAATCTCCACTTATATGCATTTCTAACCTATATACCTATATACTATTTTATTTTTGAATGTTCTTATATCGTACAGCCTTGCTGCTATTTTGATCACACCCCCATTTTCTGTATAGGATGAGCTCTTTGTCTGCTAATTTACAAGATGATTCATATCTGTGCTCCCAAGGCCTGGATCCAGAGCAATCTGACAAGTTATAGCAATGATCCAGAACATTATAGCAATGATCAAGTTTTTAAAAATGTGTTAACCTAAGTATATCAGTAAAGTTATAAATAAGAAAAACCAACATGTAAATATGAAATAACAGTGGTAAACTAAAGATTTCTGCATCAGATCTAGTTGTCTTCTCCAAAAATTGATAGGCGTCCAGAAATTTCCCCTGTGTGCTAATAGGAAATGTGCTATTATATCCTCTCCCATTTCAAATGTTATTATTTTGACCCAAGTGATCTGCCCTCACCCAGTAGATCTATGGGTGGAAGTCCTTAATTTCAGTTGCCAATATCTTGTTCCTAAAATTATCCATTAAATTCTATATCATAGGTGTCCAACCTTTTGACTTGCCTGAATCACATTGAGTGAAGATGAATTGTCTTGGGCTGCATATAAAATATATAATATAGTTAATGTATATTAATCTTATAATAATGTTAAATGTCTACAATCTTGTGGGGTCACATTACTAACTTTCCAGGACTGTGAGTTGGACATGCCTTCAGATGAATAACTTGCATCCCCACCAGTAGGATATGCTATTTCTTTTAATGACTTTTCTCTCTGAAACTTTAATTTTCTTTATAACCTATTAACTTTCTATTGGACAAATTATAGACATCTAATACATAAGCTAATATGTACATACTCTTGAATACATACTAGTTGGAAGTTTCAAATGATACAAAACAGGACAGACAGTTTTGGAGACCCTTCAGGTGGCATATATGCTTGCTGTTGTGAGTGCTGCATTGGTTGCCAGTCTGCTTTCAAGTCCAATTCAAGTGTTGGAAGAGCTTTTTCAGTTCTGCCCTTTGGAATATTATCCTGCTGGAGATGGAATAAGCCCCCACCCTCCTGGCTTTCAGGAAGAGTGTTAAAACATGGCCCTAATATACTAGCCCATGTTTTAATATACTATTTTAAATATATTATACTATATTATATACCTAATATAGTGCTCTATACTGGGAATAACTGATGGGGTAGAGGGAAGATCCTTAACGCCATGTCTACTGTCCTCTTGGTTTCTAGCCTTTATTTAATAATTTTAAATTATAATTGTTTTTCATGATCTTTTTATCATTTTTAAGCTGCTCAGAATCACTGTGACAATAGATGGGCAGCATGCAGACTTAATAAATGATAAATAAGATAATCTTCCACAGCTATTTAATATCTAATACTATACTTTGATTAGAATACCAACAAAATAAACAAACAATTGAGGTTTGGTTAAAAATGTCAAATGTTAGCAAACTATTTAAAAATCTTGTTTTTTTAATTTAACAGGTGCATATAATAGGTTGAGAATATATAATGCAATTTCATACAATATTTTTAAGGATTAGTTTATGTAATTGTGTAAATTTGGATTTGGTTTGATTTTGGGTTTTTACTCCTAGTTCCCCCTCTTCCACTCCAAACTATTCAGATGATGAATCTCTCTCTGAAGAGGAACTGGACAAGCTAAAGGAACAGGTAGAAGAAAAGAAAAAACTCATATCTATCATACGAAACAAACCCTGGCACATGGCAAAGAGATTAACTGTGATAAGGTATAATATCTTGGTTATTATTGTTCACATGACCTCTAGGTCTATAGGCATAAGTTTATGTTGCCATTCCATTCCACCTTTCGCAAACATTATTTTCTGTGGCTGTTGGCTGAACTTCTTGAGCATCCTAGTCTTAGTAAAAAGGTTTTGCCCCATGGTTGGCTTAAAAGAAAGATTTGTTTTTTTATCTATGTAACTAGAAAACAGATGACAATTCATGGCTGATTTTATGCATTAATTTAAAATATAAACCTGAATGATTAGACTCGCTGTCATTCTCTGCCCTTTTGGATTGTTGTTGCTTTTTTCCATCGGAATCAAATGATTACTTTTTCAGCACTTTCATTTGTTAATGTTTGTAAGACTTTAGGCAAAACATATTGCAATGATTACTTATCTGCCATATTTATTTAAGAGAATGATTTAATATGTCTGAAATGAACATGCCCTTCTCATATACCTACCCTAGGTCAACTCTAGACTATTATAATGTGTTTTACATGGGACTGACCTTGAAAAATATTTGGAAATTTCTGTTAGTTCAGAATGCAGTGGCCTGAACAGTTTTGCACAAATCTAGGCTTACATATGTCTCACCTCTTCTGCATGGCTACCAATCCACTTCAGATACCATTGTCAGATATATATTGATGGTCGTGCTCATTTGGTTCTATGAGGAAGTTATTTGATCAATACAGCTTCAGGTTCAAAAAGTTGTTTTATTATTTACAAAATATATACATGCATACAATAATGAACAGGGTGTCCTGTTGCACCTTTTACCCTAACTGTATGACTCAGATGATGAGAGGAGAGATAAGTTCACGTGTTGTCTTGCTGAGAGATAGATGAGAGAGAGAGAGAAATACAGGGAAGATGTCCAAGTGGTTTCTGGGTAAGAGTCCAATAAAAGAGTTCATTGGCTGATATAGTCACATGTGATGTCTGTAAAGACTTAACCCCTTCTAGTCTCTGGTACATCATATGTAGGTAATATTCTGACAGACCCCCTCTATTGCCAAGTGTGATGGAACAGTGTTCAAAGATAATAATAAACACAAGTATAAGAAAAAATAAATTATAAGTATAGTCCAACTGATTTGCAGTGGTTCCAATGTATTTCACAAGGTACAGGTTTAGTTAAGAAATCGGCAATTTGATCCTTGGTATCGCAATGAACAAATTCCACAAAACCCTTTTTAACTAGGTCTCTCACATTTTTATAACGTATATCAATATGGCGAGATCTGAAGCTGACATCATCCCTGACTGAAGAGGCTATGATGGACTCATTGTCCTCATGGAGAGTGATAGGTAGTGAAGCTGGTGTCCAAATATCTGAAACTAATTTGTATATCCATGTGAGAAGTGTGCAAGCATCAGAAGCACTGGATATTCAGCTTCGGCCGTGGAATTAGCAATGAAGTTTTGGCGACAAACGCGCCAGTCTATGGGACAACCATTTAGGAAGTATATAAAGCCTGATGTGCTTTCTCTTGATTTTTCATCCCCTGCCCAATCAGCATCTGAATAACAGATAAGTTCTGCGGTGACCCCTTCATCAGGTTCTAATAATAAGACCATATCTTTTGTATTATGCAAATATCTGAGTAACCTTTTCATAGCAACCCAATGTTGTTCTTTAGGTTCATCTACTTGTCTAGATAGGAGATTTGTACTTAATGATATATCAGGTCTACTCCATCTGCTGCTATAAAGGAGTGATCCTATGATGGATTGATATTGAGTTTTATTGTGATGCTTGTTACCATCTAGATAAGCAATTTTATTATAGTCAGTGCGCATGGGTGTATCTGTGGGATTGCAGTCTTCCATGCCACATCTTTGTAATAGGTCTTCAATCTTATCCTTTTGTGAGAAGCAAAAACCTCTATCAGTTTTAAAAATTTGTACGCCCAGATATTGGTCTATATGACCTAAGGTCTTTAAATTAACATGTTCTCTTAATTTGTTTGCAAATTGTTCACTGGATTGTATGTTGGGCCCGACATAAATCAAATCATTAACATAGATTAAAATAATTTCTTTCTCCCCTTCTGATCAAATTTGATTTTACCCATTGATTTTAAAAATTTGGTAAGGCAGTCAAACCAGAGTTTGCCTGATTGTTTTAAGCCGTATAACCCTTTGTGTAGTCTCCATGTTTTGCCGAATTCAACTTGGAATCCTGGTGCCCCATTGACATAAATTTCCTCCTCTAATGGTGCATAGAGGTATGCGGTTTGGATGTCAAATTGGTAGACTTCTTGATTTGAGACAATGGCTGAAGTCAGTGCCGTTTTTATGCTTTCTGGTTTTACTGTGGGGGAGTAAGTTTCATCGTAATCTTCGGGAAAGCATTGGACAAAACCTTGAGCTACGAGGTGTGCTTTGTATAGATATGTGTTGTCAGGGAGTGTTTTAATTTTGTAAACCCATCGAGTGCCAATCAGGTATTTGTGTTGTGGAGGTGTTGTTTTTGTGAATACTTTTAAATTTATTAAACAGTCCATTTCTTTGGACATAGCTTCCCACCATTTTAATTGTTCTGATTCCGGTAATTTGAGCATGTGTTTAAATTTTTTTGGAGTGATAGGTATTTGGTTTGTCTGTGTCACATTGTTCACGTCAAATCTTTTAGGTGGGATGCCTTGTGTAATTCGTTTGGATTTTCTGATTGGTAGTTATGTATCTGTGTTGTTTGTTCGTGGTGTAACTTTTGGTGTTGTTGTTTGTACATGTTGAATTCTCTGTGGAGTATCTAATGTATTTGTTTCTTGGGTTAATATGTATGAGTCATTTGAGTGTATTTTGGTCTAGTTGTAGTTTTCTATGAATGTGGCTGAACGGGAAATTATTACTGTGCTGTTGTTTTTTATGAATCGATATGCTTTCGAACCTGGTGCATATCCTACGAAATGTAATTTTTTGGACACCTCATTCCCCTTCCGTCTGAGTGGTTTGGGGATATTGACGTATGTATAGCAGCCAAAAACGTGAAGATGTGTGAGGTGGGGTTGAGTGCCATATACAAGAAAGTAGGGCGTTTGGTTAATAACCTTATTCCATGTGCGGTTAAAAGTGTAATTGATATATGCAAGGGCTTCTGCCCAATAGCTAAGGGGTACATCAGCATCTAACATGACGCTGCGCATCATGGTCTGTAATATTCCATTCTTTCTTTCACAAATCCCATTCTGCTGGGGGGTAAAAGGAGATGTTTTGTAGTGTATAATGCCTTTGGAGTCAATCCAGTTTTGAAATTGTACAGATGTGAATTCGGCTCCACAATCTGTTTGAATTTTCTTTAATTTGATGTTGTGTTGGTTTTGTATGAGAGTGTAAAATTTTTTTGTTTTTTGGAATACTTGAGATTTTTCAGTAAGGGTATAGATATGTCCGAAATGACTGAAATCATCTACTAAATTCAAAAAATATTTGCATTTGCCCAAAGAAAGTGGAAAAGGACCTACAATGTCAACGTGTACCAATTCGTATATGTGTTTTGATCGTCTGGTGCTGGTGTGGGGAATTGGGGCTGCCTTTGATTTTGCAACTTTACAAATCTCACAGTCAAGTTGGATAGGGCAATCCTTAGTGTATATGCCTTGGGAAAAATTTTGAGTATTGTCTACAGCAACAGTATTGGCATGTGCTAAACGTCTGTGTAATAAATGGGCACAATTATAGTGTAAAGGTTCACCTATATGAGTTTGAATTTTTGTTTTGGAGGTTCGTTGGTTTTGTGATGTGGGTGAAGTTGAAGAGAGGTGTGTTGTGTTGTGTTGGTCGTTATGTAATTTGGAAGTGTCATGTGTATTGGTATGGTGAGGTGTGGTACCTTCGTGGTGGATGTCAGGGGTACGGTCGGGATGATTGTCAGGGTCAGGTCTCGATGAGGATTGAGGTAGTTGAGTCGTGGGTGAGGATGATGTAAAGGAATCTGGAATAAGAAAAGGTAAATAATTAATGACAGAAATATTAGCAATAATAGTGTTATCATGTTTGGATTTTATAAAACCATGTTGATCATCAAGAGATACTTTAAAACCAATTTTACCTAATTTTGAAGTACTCAAAATATTGTGGCCAAAGGTAGGTATATAGAGCACTTGACTAATTTTCCCTATACCGGGTATAAAGATAGATCCTTCATATTCAACTGTATTGGAAATACCATTTGCTGCTGTAATTGAAATATTGGTTGGGTGAATATCATATAATATGGATTTGTCATTGGTGGTATGGTGTATGCTTCCAGAATCGATGACCCATAAGTGCGTGGTGTCACGCAGGTATTGTTGGATGTTGGGAAAGATGCCAAATGTTTGGGATTTGGAGTTAGAATATATAGATTGTTCAGTATGTTGTCCCCTTCTGTCTTTATAATCTTTGTGTGTGGGACCCTTTCTAATGTAAAATTCAGTGGCCATGGATCTTTTAGGTTCAGTATGTTCTTTGATAGTATGATTTCTTTTGTTAGTCTTGTCTGTAGGGGTGTATCCCCTTGTATCATGAGTGTAGGTGGTGTTGTCACCGTGTGGAGGATGGGAGTTGTAGGTATGATGATGTCTTCTATAGTTATAATAATTAAAATTATTTTGATATTGAGAGGGGTGTTTCTGCCAGTTTTGGTAGAATGGTTTGTGTGAAGAATGTGAAGGATGGGAATCATGTTTAGGGTAAAAAGGGTGGTCAAAAGAAGTAGGGTATGTATCAGTATGATAGTCTTCTATCTTCGTCTATTAATTTGGATTTGATTTCAGCGACAGTGTACATGTGGGAGGGGGGGTAAGGAGTGGAGACTATTAATGAATCCAGACCAACCAGAAATGTATTTAATAGAATTGAAAATGATACCAATCATGGCAGTTTCAGGTACAGGATGATTGCGTTGAATCAATTGTTTTCACATGGATTTGAGGTGGAAAAGATGTTTGGCCATAGATGTGCCAGGCTTATATATGGAGCTATAAAAGTCACCGGCAAGAGTAGCGATA